GGGAGATTGAATTTCATAAAACTATTATACGGTGATAATTTTTTCTTTTCATGCATGCTAATTGTTGCACCTTTTTTGGCCAACCTATCAGCATTCTTATTCTCGACTACGCCTTTATGTCTCGGAATATAGGTAAAATAAACCTTGCCAATTCTTTAAAATTTAAAAAATCTCAGCATAGAAATATTTAGATGATTGTGGCATTTTTTAAGAAAAAAAAACTGAAAGTGTGCCCAAGCGGCGAGCGTCGGGTACAGTCAGTATAGTAGGATATAAGCCGTAGGTGCCAAATAAGAGTTAGTATAATAGGCGAAATAATTTCAAATATCATACAAGTTGGGATCCTTCTCTTACCTGAACAAAACAGTTTATTTTTAAATTAAAGAAAAAATGAGGTTTTTTAAACTATTTGAACCGTTATCGGTGATGTCATGTTCTTGCACTGGATCAGGCCCAATTTTTTCTTGTACATCGCAATGATATCGATCCCATTGTCGCCCTGAACCACCTTAATCTTATTAGCCAATATTCCGTTCATCTCCAGCATTTTGCGTACAACTGATTCGAAATCATGGCCAATCCTGTGATTTGAAAGCTGAAATAATGAATAAAAACGATCAGTATGAGATTCCTATTCATCAATGTTTGCAGCATAGCCGTCTCGAAGATATAACTTCAATCTCTATGTCGGTTTCTCGGAAGATAATAGAACACATCCTCGACATAAAGTGCTCAGAACACACTCCTACCCCCCTATGACAGCGTAACTTCAGAATCACAAATACTGAGTGAAATGGCACGGCCATCTTACCTTTTCCGGAATTGACATCATTGATCATTCACATAGCTTTGTTAAAATTTGAAAAAAATTTTGCCTATCTGTTTTTACACTCATCCCAAGTGGTGTATATACCCGGCTTGCGATCAGCGTGAACTGCGCAACCCTAATGTAGAGTGATATAGTATAGAAAACATGCTTGCGACCAGTCACTGCGAGGAAGATGGCATACAAGGGTAATTTAGGTTTACCAACCAGATGGGAGGAGTGAGGTTAGTACAAAGTAAGGAAAACGAATAACCAGACGATACACGGTTGGAGCCCCTCACCTTTAATATTTTAAATATAAATTACATTTAATGAAAAATGAACATTTATATAGTTTTTTAAATATGATAAAAATGCCTGAAAATTCTGACGAATTCTCTTACTATCAAATAACATATTTTTATTGTACAGATTCAGGTTGAGAATGGATTTAGACTTGAGAATGAATCGATTTTGGTAATCAAAAGTTTTACTTTTTGAGGTAAGATCTGAATATTAGTAAATCATGATGTAAATATAAACGCGTATGTACGCGTAAATTTTGATATGTAAATAAAAATTATATAAATATGTTCTTTTGCCTGGGTAAAACTAAAATGGCAAACAATTATAGGTTTCGCCAAATTATAGCAACCGTATTCCATTGCATTCCTTGTATAAATTCCTTCAAATATAAAAAAAACTTTACTATCAGAAGAATCACTGGTGCTGTAAAAATGCGGCATGTATAAATTGCTGTAAGTTACATGAATGCAATGATTTTGTTTATTCTTCATGTAAATCTCTTGGTATTGAATACAAATGTATTCTATCGTGCCAAATACAAATTCCACAACGCCCAGAATTAATTCTACGATGCCCAGAATTCCAGTATCCACAAATTCCACGACGCCCAGAATTCATTCTACTGTGGCGACCACTAACAACTCTGGAGAAGGTAAAATGGCCGTGCCTTTTACTTAGTGAATATGGGATTTTGAAGTTACGCTGTCTCAAATTGGAAGGAATTCATTCTGGGATATTTCTTTTCACGAGAAAAGCGAGGATGGATTCTATTTCCAATGGAAACTGAGCTGGTCTGCGAGTTACATCTCGGTGAAGTTAGCCGTTACGTGAGATGAATAGGAATCTCTCGCTAACCATTTTTTAATAAAAATTAATATAGAATTCAAATCACAAGATTGGCCACGATTTCGAATCTGCCATTGCCAAGATCTTGAACGAGCAGGGTATTTTATCATATGAAGTTAAAGTGAGGCAGGGCGATGGTGGTATCGATATCATTGCGAACTATGAAAGAAAGATTATTATAATTCAATGTAAATCCATCGAAACGTCGATTTTGTTAAAATATGTGAAGGATTTTGAATCAACTTTATCCAAGTTTCCTGATGATTCTTTGGGAATAATTGTATATGATAGCGAACACATAAAATCACCGAATTTATTGACCAGGCCGGCGGCTACTTGGATGAAGACAATGGAAAAAAATATGGTAATATCGAATGAGAAGTGTCTAATTTCAGATATAAAAAAATATTTTAACCAAACTAATACAATTGATGACCCAAGTAATCTTATTAAGTTTAAAAAGTTAAATGCTTTATCGTTAGACATGTTTGGCATGAAAGTGGAAAATGTAAATATTGAAAGTATTTTAATAAAAAAAAAGTAACGATTTAACCCTTACTAAGTCTGCTCAGTGCTGTATATGCACCGGGCAGCTCTTTTAGCTCGTCAACATTCAACATGACTGATCAAGATCCTTTTGACCAATTCATTGATATCAACAGGGCCCCAAAATTAGATACAGATCTTTTTGACCAATTCATTGATACCACATTATGTGACATGACCCCAAAATTGGAGAAAGGTAAAAGAAAAGAAACTGCTAAGAGAAAGTATTCAGCTCTTCAAGAGCAATCTTCTGCAAAAAAATCAAAAAAAAATAATGATGACAAGATCATCGATTTAACCGATCTACCAACATTGGAAGAAAAGAAAGTTAGCAAACAGTTAACGCATGGCCCAAAAAAACTTGGCAAGGTTATAGTCGTATTTGGATCTGTTAGTGCTGGCAAATCTCGTTTTTCAACCATGTTCAAGGAGTATTGTGAAGGCCGAGGTCTTTCTGTCTATTTTCCTACTGAACTTTCGTTATGGTTATGTGAGGATTTTAAGTTGTTTAATTCGAATCCGAAGAAATATTCATTTTATTTTCAGGATCTTGTTATCGAGACTTTTTCCCAATCTATGAGCATGATCAAACAGATGCGTGCTCATTATGATGTGTTGCTTATTGAACGAACTAATTTGGATACTAAGATCTTCACTAATCTCAATATCGATGATCCATTGAAGCTCGAGTATCTTGAAAAGAAGAATGCCCTGATTCCGCTTCTCAAGGCTGATTATTATATTCATGTTCGTTGTCCTCCCACTATCTGTGTCGAACGTCAGCAGAAGCGTGGGCATGAGGACAAAGATTACACACCTGAGTACATGAAGAAGATCTGCGTCGAATACGAACTTCTTGCTCCCAAGCTTTATCTAAATCAAACGGTTTTCAATTCATGCTATGACTTGGACGCTGAAGATTCTCTCAAGGCGAAGGAAGCAAATGAGCATTATCAGCTCTTCTTTAAGCAGCTTATTTAGTTTTTCTTTATTTTTCTGACATGTATTATAATTATGATCAAATTGCAAATAAACAAAATTGATTATTCAGTTTTTTTAACCAATTAATTTTTTTCTTATATAAATCTTTAATTACCATGTCAACCTATAATTACGACGATGAAAAGCTTAAGGTGTTATCTGTGACATTTTTTAACGATCATGTAACAACTTTGTACCAGTCACGATCTAATCACGATCATCACCTATATGTGGAAACATTGATCAAGCTTATAAATTATTCGTATTCGAATGTATTGAACCACAAGTTTAAACAGTACGCTACTATGTTGCGGGAGAACTACCCAGACGTCTACTATTCACAGGTGTATGCCGACGCATTCTCTTCACATTATCTTAACTATTCGTTTCCCGAAATGGAACAGACCGTAGATCATCGGCTTCAATTGGAGGTTGAATTTAAAGCAATGCAACACACTTTCAATAAAATTTTCAAATAGCCTAAGCAACTTTTATTGGATGATCCGAAGATGGAATTTATTGGATGATCCAAAGACGGAATAAACTTTTATTGGATGATCCGAGATGGAATTAATCCGCATGGCACATGATTTAATCAGATATTAATTGACTTAATAAGCAGTTTGAACAATTCAGAGAAGAGTTTTATAATTTACGACCAATTTTCTCTATTTTTAAAAAATTTATTTCATCCATTATTTATCAATATGTAATTTATTCAGTATTTCTAATACCGAATAAAAAATTATTTACGTAAACAATATCTCTTCGGCTAATCAAAGATTTTCCGTTGACCGATCCGAATTTATTTTTTGTGTACGATGCGATTGATGTGCGAGATTTCCACTATGACGGGTACACGCTTCGTCTCTACGCTGTTCGTACTAATGGCCAAAAGATATTTATCGATGTGAAGGAACCTGATGTTTTTTTCGATATCAAGTTAAAGGACTTCTCATTGAT